CCAGCTAGCGGGACTGGCCTAAGGGATTTTATAGGGGTTTTAAATTACTTTTAATTGGACATATTTAAATATTTCGTTTTAATTAAATTTTTAATTAGGTATAATTATGTATATATGTTAGTATTTTATCTAATTTGTCAGCCGCCCTGAGTCCGTAAGGAGAAGGGCGGGATATAAATGCAATTAATAAATAAATAAAAATAAATAAATATTTTGAAGTTGTAAAGAACCTTGGGACATTTTTTTTAAAAAGCGGGTGTCTTTATAGTCTTCCCTTTTATTTTCTGTTATATGGACTTCTTTTTTCTCCACCCTAATAAAACAGAAGTTAGGTGGCTAAAGACTTCTAGGAATTTCACTGCGGCATTCAGCCAATATATATTAAAATCTACTTTTTTTCCCTGAGCACATTCAGCTTTCTGGTATGCATCAGTTTACTTAGGGATCTGACCACCCTTTTACTTTCTCGGTGACTTTTTTCCAGGATGGTCAATTTTTGTCCCCAGTGTGGACAGAAAGTTGAAGAAATGTTTCACTTCTGTCCTGCCTGCGGAGGCCGGCTTCCGATTCAAGAAGAAGAACCAATGCAGATCACCCCATCTCCTTCTCTGAATGGTGTGTGAAATTCATTAAACCCGGTTAGTTGCAGGCTGAGAAATCTCGCTGGTCTGAATATCGGCTAAAATGAGGTCACTCGCCCTTCCTCTAGAGATGCCCATCAGGTACGCCATGACATCATGGCATAAATCTCACTTAATATGGGCAGTTCTCGACTTACAGCCACAATTCAGCCCCAAATTTCAGGTGTTAAGCTCAGTGTTCTTAGCATGACCTATACCAGAGGCCCCCAACCTTTTGGACACCGGGGACCGGTTCCGTGGAGAAAGATTTTTCCACGGACTGGAAAGTGCGTGGTTTTGTGTGCTGCCTGCATCTGGGGCTTTGGGGCTTTGCTTGTTTGTGTGGACCGGTTGCTGGCATGCTGTGGCCCGGTACTGGTCCATGGACCGGGGGTTGAGGACCCCTGACCTATACCACCTGCAGCGAGCTTCTAGATAGTGTTTTAACTGCATCCAGTGCATCTCACTGTAGTTTCTCTGACTTCCTTGTCAAATGTGTAGATCTTGTTCTGATCTAGCTAAGCTGCTGGCAGCTGCCTGTCCTGAGTTTCTATGCAGACAAGATGAAGGCAGACTGAAAAGAGTTGAAAAGAATATGTTGCTTTGTAAATGAAGAGCTTTCAAGGTTGGGGTCTCAGGCCCTCACAGTCGCTCATGCCTTATGCTTGCTGCGATGTGCAGACAGACGAATGACCCTTTTACTACCCATAGTTGTTCAGGTCTGCTGCATTTTTCTAGTTTGGGGCTTAGCTGTGACTCTTTTGACTGCTCCAACGGCATCTTCTCATATCTTGCTCAGAATTAAATCGGGACGTCCAGGCTGAGCTACCACAATCGCCTGACAAGAAAAAGGTGCGGATATTTTTTCCCAACAAGGGAATGTCTTCAATCCCTTCTCCACCGGGCTCAACAACATCCCTTTCTCCAAAGGCAAAAGGTAAGGATTTATAGACCTGGTCAGGATTAGTGATGCAGAGAATGTGATTGTTCAAGCTAATAGCGATGGCTGGATCACAAACGCTCGTTCTTTCACGTCTGAACACCAACATTTTGCCAATATTAAGCTTAATTATTTATGTTATGCAGTGTTTCTCAATCTTGGCAACTTGAAGCTCTGTGGACTTCAACTTCCAGAATTCCCCAGCCAGCCATGTTGGCTGGGGAATTGTGGGAGTTGAAATCCACTCATCTTCAAGTTGTCAAAATTGAGGAACACTGATTTCATCTCATGGCTTTCATAGTATCTTAATACTAGACACTTAATAGTATCTTTAATACAGGTAGCCCACAACTTATAACAGTTCAGTTACTGTGTTCATAGTTACAGCAGCACTGAAAAAAATGAATTATGACCTTTTTTCACACTTAACGACCATTGTAGCATCCACACGATCAAAATTTAGATGCTTGGCAACTGTCTCACGTTTATGACGGGGGGTCACGTGATCCCCTTTTGTGACCTTCTGACAAGCAAAGTCAATGAGGAAGCCAGATTCACTTAACAACCATGTAACTAACTGAACAACTGCAGTGATTCACTTAATAGCTGTGGCAAGAAAGGTCGGGAAATGGGGCAAGCCCCACTTAACAAATGTCTCGCTTAGCAACATAAATTTTGGGCTCAATTGTGGTCGCCACTGTACTCCTTCCTTTTATCCACCATTCTGTTGAAGAACATGATGGGTGGGGAAATCCTGGATCTCCTCAAGACCTTTTGGTTGGGTTTTGTTGAATAGAAGCCCCTCTATTCTCGATGCCCAGTCAAAATCAGCATCTATCCAAAAAGCACATATTTATTTCCCCTGTCCTTACCACTTTTTACTGAAGGATGATCAAGAGCATCCTGTCATACATCACAGTCTGGTTTAGAAGCATCCCTGCTTCAGATAGGAAGGCGGTGCAGAGAGTGGTGAGGACAGCAGAAAAGATCATTGGCAGTTCCCTCCCTTCCATCCAGGATATAGCACATAAGCGTTGCTTGAGCAGGGTCCGCAAGATTGTCTGTAACATGACACACCCATCTCTCCAAAAAGCACATCTTCCTTCTCCTGTCCTCACCACTTTCTACAGAGGGACAATCGAGAGCATCCTATCATACAACATCACAGTCTGGTTTAGAAGCATCCCCGCTTCAAACAGGAAGGCGGTATAGAGAGTGGTGAGGACAGCAGAAAAGATCATTGGCAGTTCCCTCCCTTCCATCCAGGACATGGCACATAAACGTTGCTTGAGCAGGGTCCACAAGATTGCCTGGAACACGACACATCCTCTTCACAACCTGTTTTCCTTGTTACCTTCTGGGAGGAGGGGGCTCCGTGGTATCCGAAGCAGAACATCCAGATTCAGTCACAGCTTTGTCGCATGCAGTATTAACCTTGTGAACTCTCAAGCTTCCTCCTCCTGTTATGTATTCAAGATGGACAACGAATAATATTTATATGTTGCTTATATGTAAGGGTGCAGGTCTATACATATGTTGTATATAGTATGTTTTAAATGTGTGTGATGTATGTGTACACTTTTGAGAGGAAGCAACTAAATTTCATTTTTAATGTGCGCCGTTGTGCCCACAGGGGAAAAAAATGACAATAAAGGCTATCTAAATCTAAAAATCTCTCCTTATTGAAGGAAAGGCAGCTATCCGGTCACCCAAAAAGGAAAAATGTCCTTGCCTGAAACCTCTTCCGGAGCGTGAAATCTTGACAGACCTGAACAATAAAGAGTGGATGATTTGGAAGCTTCTGAGCCAATCTGACCGTGGGCTGATGTATGAAGGTATTCAGGGTGATTGCCCATTTGTGGGACTCGGGGCGGGGTAATTTGCAGCTTGGTGCTTCATAATTTTTCTGAAGGTGAACCTGTCTTGAAAAGGAGAAGGTTGAGTTGGAGCCAGTTTAATGAACAGATAATAAAATAAACGGAGGGTGCCTGCTGAAACGCTGCCAATATTTCCATTTTTCCTCACGTGACAGGAAGAATCGTGAAACTGTTACGCTCTGTTAGATCCTGCACATTTAAAGGGCCTAAAATGTGCCTCTCCTGCATTCCCTACCAGTGTGTCATTTTATTTACTTATTTATTTATTCACAGCAAGGTTAACGTCTGAACGCTCACCACAGCACAAATACACCCTCAAACTGGTGAGTTCAAATCTCTGGGTTAGAGATAACGCCGAACTTTTCCGTGGAGCGGAACCGGATTTTTCAGCTTGCTAAAGACGAGAGCATTGCTCGCCACCAAAAAAGGAACTTCCCTGTTGTCTTTCTTTTTTCAGCATACCAAAGAGGGCAAGCTGTTTAACGAACAGAACTTTCTGCAGCGAGCCGCCAAGAAAGTCACAGGTAAAAAAAAACACAAAACGCTGGAGGACTCACCCTCCACCCCTTTTGTAAGTGGGTCTTGGGGACAGGAACCCAGGGCAGCATCCTCAGCCTTCTCCCGGCCCACTCTGATCGCTCATCTCTTCTTGTTCGGCTTCAAAAGTGGGACAGTTTGAGGGCCTGTCCGCGCAAGCGATGCTACATTTCTGTTCAGTTGCCCTGTCCCGTCTGATCTCTCCCTGCAGTGGAGAAATGGAAGAAGCAATATGTAATGCCGTTCCTGGGGATACCTGAATGTGTTGGTTTTGGCGTCCATGGGAATAGCTACAGGTGAGTCCCAACGCTAAGGGAGTTTGATCTGGGTTCTTCCCCTGTTTCACAACAATCGTGTGCATCTCCCACAGTCTGGCGCATGTGTGAAGCCTTTCTTCTCTTGCCATTCCTTGCACAGCATTGATTTGAATAGATCCAGCTTGTTCCTCAAAACTCTCATTTTGTAGTTAGCATTTTTTTTGTTCCTCTTACAACAGTATCTGATTTTCACACCTCTGTACTTTCAAGGAAGACTGAATTTTGTACATGTCAGCTCCAGGAGAGAGGAGACTCTCCAAAGTCTAATTCAGAGGTCCCCAACCTTTTGGGCACCAGGGACCGGTTCCGTGGAGAGAGGTTTTTCTGCAGACCTGAGAGTGCGTGGTTTTGTGTGCGGCCTGCATCCCACGGATGGGGCTTTGCTTGTTTGTGCGGACCGGTTGGTGGCATGCCACGGCCCGGTACCGGTCCACGGCCCGGGGGTTGGGGGTTGGGGACCCCTGGTCTAGAAGGATGTCTTGAAAATAAATGGCCAGCTCTCAGGCCTCCAGAATCAAGAAAGACACCCAGAATTACAAGTAGTCCCTCGACTGACAAATTTATGTTGCTAAGCGAGACAGTTGTTAAGTGACATTTGCCCCATTTTGCCACCTTGCCACGGTTGCTAAGTGAATCACTGCAGTTGTTAAGCTAGTCACACAGTTGTCAAATGAATCTGGCTTCTTCGTTGACTTTAGTTGTCAGTAGGTCACAAAAACGGAGTGGGACACTGCATTGGTCATAAATATGAGCCAGTTGTGAAGCATCTGGATTTTAATCACGTGACCGTGGGGATGCTGCAACAGTTGTAAGTGGAAAAATGGTCAAAAGTCACTTTTTTTCTGTGCTGTTGTAACTTCGGTCACTAAACAAACGCTTGTAAGTCGAGGACTGCCTGTACTTCTGAGACGTTTCCTGCACGGATCTTCATCTATAGACAGAAATCTTGCCAAACTAAAGCAACTATTGGCAGCACAAAAGAGATCCTCTGAGAATCGCTGGGGAGGAGCCTTCTTAACTCTCCTTCTCCCACCAAACTATCTGAGCTTCACCGCCTCTTTGACCTCGGGAAGGCAGCCCCTCCCACCTGGGAATCCAGGCTACATTCCACCCCACTAGCCTCCCTAATTCCTGGTGGGTTTTTTTTTTTTAACCGGAAGATGACCAAGAGTAGATGCACACTGTGATGGGCAGCCCAATTCACACGCAGCATAAACTCCTTTGATTGGCAGGTTCCTGGTCTTTCCCGAATTGGGTCGATCTCTTCAGTCAATCCTAGATGACAACGAAAACAAGATGGCGGAGAAAGCTGTTTTGCAGCTTGCAGTCAGGCTGGTACGGGATGCCACGAAGGCACACAATGGGGAAGGAATTCCTCTAATGGGCAGAAGGGGACAGGAAGAGCTTTTACTAAGGCAACGATCAGATAAAAGAAACACGAGTCCAGGGCAGAACAGTAATCTGAGAAAGCATCTCAAACAGGATCCTGCCTAGTTCCAATAATTGTAAAGCGGTTGGGAGGTGAATTGAGATTTCCAAGATCCTGTTAAAAACTGGCTCTGCTGTCCCAACGGTGCTTTTTCAAGAGGCAACTGGACTTCCTTTGTTTTTCCTTGAAGACATTTCACACCCCATACAAGAAGCTTCTTCAGTTCTTCTTGAATGAGAAGCAAAACGTCTTCGTGGAAAAACAAAGTCTCTCGGAAAAGCACCATGACCTGGATGGCTGAGAATCTCCATATACGCTCGACTCTGCTGGGATCATGCCATGCTGGAGATGTCCCAAAGGTGCTTTTTCCAAAAGGCAACTAGTCTTTTTTTTTGGGGGGGGGGGGGTTGTTTTAAAACACTTTGCTTCTCATCCAAGAAGCTTCTTCAGTTCCCAGTTTGCTGAAGAAGTTCCTTGGATGAGAAGCGAAACATTTTTCAAACAAAAAACCAAGGAAATCTTTTGGAAAAAGCATCTTTGGGACAACCACGTCCTGGATGATGGAGCATCTCCATAGACATGCTGGAGATGGTTGGTTGAGTTAAGCCAGTGATGGCGAACCTTTTAGAGACCGAGTGCCCAAACTGCAACCCAAAACCCACATATGCATCGTTGGGTGCCGGGTGGGTGTGGCCCATTGGGTGGGTGTGGCCCATTGGGTGGGTGTGGCCCATTGGGTGGGCGTGGCTGCGGTGGTAATGGCAGACTGGGCGGGATTAAAAAGTTCAATCAATCCATTCCAACTTTGCAAGATCTTTTTTTTCCCCGCAAGAAATTGAAATTGACTGATTGATTGAACCTTTCTTTTTTTGCACACGGCGGCGGAGGCCTAAAGCGAAAAGGTTTTATAAAACCCAGCTGAAGGACTAGGACTGGGGCGACGGCGCGCGTCCCCACAGAGAGGGCTCTGAGTGCCGCCTCTGGCACCCGTGCCATAGGTTCGCCACCACTAAGCGATAAGCCCACCCCCACATCTTTTATCCTCTTGGTTTTTAGCCTTTACAGTGGTACCTCGGTACCTGTCGGTAATTTGATCTGGAAGGCGTGGCAAATACTAAAACCAGGACAAGATTTCTGCTTCAAAATGCATTGACTATCAAATTTGATGAGTTTTAAAGCAGTCGAGTGCCGAAATATGGCTGCATTTGATTGTTCGTTTTAATTGTTTTCATATTTATGTTTTTATTTCCCTTTTTAAGCCACCCAAAGTCACTTCGGCTAGCGAGATGGGCGGCATATAAGTTTAATTAATAAGGCAAAGCCATCTCCTGTCCCCCCCCCCCTGCTACTTCCCACCAGTGAAGTCTGTTCCAGGATCAGCAATCCTGGAAAACGGGAATTCGCATGGCTGAGCCTTCCTTTCTGCCTTTCTCTCTGCCTTTAGCTTGACGTCCTGGAGTACCTTCACGAAAATGAATATACTCACGGGGATCTGGCTGCTGAAAACATATATGTGAATCCGGCTGATCTTACTGTGGTAAGGCAAGGAGAAGGGGTCTAGGAGAACTTGCCACGGGACAAAAGTGACATAATTTCGAATAGAATAATTAAGGAAGGGAGGGAACAAAAGGAAATGGCGAAGGATTGATGACCATTCTCCTGTGGCGTCCCCATGGTCACGTGATCAGAATTGGGAGGCTTGGCAACTGGCATGTATTTATGACAGTTGCGTTGTCCCGGAGTCATGTGATCGTCTTTAACCACCTTCTGACAAGCACAGTCAATGGGGAAGCCAGAGTCACTTCACACCCATGTTACTAACTGTAGAGGTTCACTTAACAACTGCGGTAAGAAAAGTTCGTAATATGGATCATGACTCACTGAACCAATGTCTCACTTAGCGACAGAAATTTGGGGGCCCGGTGGTCGTCGTAAGTCGTACCCTGTAGCTCAGGGGTCTTCAAACGTGGCCCTTTGATGACTTGTGGACTTCAATTCCCAGAATTCCTCAGTCGGCCATTTTGATCAAACCGCGGGCTTAGATCCAGACCAGGGGTCTTCAGCCTTGGCCCTTTGATGACTTGTGGACTTCAACTCCCAGAAATTCCTCAGCCAGCCACGCTAGCTGAGGAATTTCTGGAAGTTGAAGTCCACAAGTCATCAAAGAGCCAAGGTTGAAGACCCCTGCTGTAGCTTTTTTGAGGATCTTCTGCTCTTCTTCCTTCCTTATTATCCTCCAGGTTACTTTAGCAGATTTCAGCTTTGCCTTTCGATACAGCCCTGGGGGGAAACACGTCCCTCAGCGGGACTGCAGCCGGACACCTCATGAAGGCAACTTGGAGTTCATCAGTCTGGACAGCCACAGGGGAGCTGGTGAGTTGGCCAATATTTCAAGTGCAGGTCTGGATTTGCACATAGGTCACCTCCCTTGGGGAAGCTGCGTTGGCTGCCAGTTTGCTTCCAGGTCCAATTCAAGGTGCTGGTTGTCCCCTTTAAAGCCCTACCTGGCTTGGGGCCCGGTTATTTGAAGGGCCCTCTTTCCTCAGTCACATCTACCCAACCCAACAGACGGGGAGGCGGGATATGCTATGGGTTCCCTTTCCTAAAGAGGTCCATCTAATGAGACCAAGAAGAAGGGCCTTCTCGGTGGTGACTCCTTCCCCGTAGAATGTCATCCCCATGGAGATAAGGCTGACCCCCACCTTGAAACTCTTCCCAAAGTCCCACCTTCCTCCTCCTATTTACCTTACAACAACCTTGTTAGTTGAGTTGGGGGGAGAGAAAGAGGGACTGGCCCAAAGTCACCCAGCCGGCTTTCATACTAGACTTCACAGTCTCCGGTGATTGGCCGACTTAGCCAGCTTTGATGGCTAAGACAGAACTACAACTCACATTCTCCTGGTCACTGGCCCAAGGTCACCCAGCTGGCTTTCGTGGCTAAGGCGGGACTAGAACTTCCAGTCTCCTGGTAATTGTGAGTTCTAGTCCCACCTTAGCCACGAAAGCTGGCTGGATAACTTGGTTGATCACCAGGAGACTGGAAGTTCTAGTCCTGCCTTTGTCATGAAAGCCAGCTGGGTGGCCTTGGGCCAATGACGAGACCGTGAGTTCTAGTCCTGCCTTAGACATAAAAGCGGTTGGGTGACTTTGGACCAGTCACTAGGAGAATGTGAGTTCTAGTCCCACCTTAGCCACGAAAGCTGGCTGGATAACTCGGTCGTTCTCCTAGTGACTGGTCCAAAGTCACCCAACCGCTCTTTATGTCTAAGGCGGGACTAGAACTCACGGTCTCCTTGTCATTGGCCCAAAGTCACCCGGCTGGCTTTCATGGCTAAGGTGGGACTCGGACTCACGCTCTCCCACTTTCTAGCCTGCTGCCTTCACCACTGAGCCCTCTGTTAAAAATGGTAGCTTGCCGATGAGTGACTGCGCTACATCCCATCTTCCTCTCTGTGGGGTGGGAACTCTGGAACTCTGCTTCCAGTATTTCTTACGGGGATTTGCTTGCTTGTTCCCTAACAGCTCCATCCCGTCGAAGCGACCTTGAATCCTTGGGTTACTGCCTAGTAAAGTGGCTGTGTGGTGCCCTTCCCTGGTCTGCAGAGCTGGCGGATCCCTGCGCGGTCATAGAGGAAAAAGAGAGGTGTGTGTGCACACTTAACAACTCTCGGCAACTGCCTGGAGGAAAAGGGATATTTCAGCTATCACCAGTTAAGGCCGCGGTGGCTACTGAATGTTGATAATAGAATCCTGTTTTTTTTTCTTCATCCTGGTCCCCCACTTCCCTGTTTTAATCCTGGAGACAAAAAAATTCCAATATAAGAGAATATCTGTAAATCATACTTGAATTGTGGGGTCTTTGGTGCTCTCTGAGCTTGGCTGTATTCTTGCAGGCGTTTCATTACCCAACTAGGTAACGCCATCAGTGCTAGAAGGAAGGGCAGTTTGCTCTTTGTTTACCTACAGTAGTTTGCCCTATCGGTGTTAGTGTGTGTGTGGGGGGGGTGTTGTTTTCTTCTTGGTAGCTCCTTGGTTAGGCTGTTGTTTCCTACCCGATGGTCTGGTCCCAATAGAAGAGAGCCTCTGCAACTCAGGGTTGAACCGTAAAGTCCTTGAGTTTGTTTGCTTGCTTGCAGATGTTTTATTATCCAACAACACAAATACCAATGAAGGAAACCATTTGTGGCTCAGGGTTGAAGTGAGGGGTCCTTGGTGCTCTCTGAGCTTGCTTGTTTTCTTGCAGACGTTTCATGACCCTAACTAGGTAACATCATCAGTGCTAGTAAGGAGTGCTGTTTGCTGTCAGTTTATATTCTGGGGTCCTGCCTCTCTGGGTGGGTGGGGACGGCCTTAGGGATTCTTTGGTTGGGCTGTTTACTAATGGCTCTTTGGCAGTTTCTTGAATGATGATGTTGTTACCTAGTTAGGGTAATGCAACGTCTGCAAGGAAACAAGCAAGCTCAGAGAGCACCAAGGACCCCACAATCTCCATCATCATCTCCTCCTCCTCCTCCTCCTCCTCCTCCTCCTCCTCCNTCCTCCTTGCAAACCTCACTCTCTTCTAGCACTGATGATGTTACCTAGTTAGGGTAATGAAACGTCTGCAAGGAAACAAGCAAGCTCAGAGAGCACCAAGGACCCCACAATCTCCATCATCATCTCCTTCTCCTCCTCCTCCTCCTCTCCCTCCTTGCAAACCTCACTCCCTTCTAGCACTGACGATGTTACCTAGTTAGGGTAGTGAAACGTCTGCAAGGAAAGAAGCAAGCCCAGAGAGCACCAAGGACCCCTAACAACACAAGTGCTAGAAGGGAGTGGCGTTTGTTGTCTGTTTATACACATACAACTAAGCAGAAAACAGCAAAGCCAGCAAAGAGAAAACAACATTCCCACAAACACCTACGGGATAAGCTACTACTGTATATGAACAGAGACCAAACCCTTCTCCCTTCTGGCCCTGAAGATATTAATTAGTCCAGTAACGAAATATCTGCACGCAAACAAACAAACACAAAGAGCACCAAGGCCTCCACACACACAAAAACCACCCCTCCTTGCTGCCATTGATGAAACACCTTGTTAACCCGAGTCAAATGACACTCATGCAGAGATCATGCTGACCTTGTCTTCGCAACATTAACCTGGCCTTCAGAAGATACGAGTAGGTGTTCAGGATAGCAATAGCAGGAAAGCCCCGTCCAGCTCCAGAGCCGTTCATGTCTCTCCTTTGGCAGTCATGTTGAAACAGAAGCTGGAGGGTGAGCCTTAATCAGGAAATCCTGACTGAAAAGAAGGACGTGATAGCAGCGTTCCAATATTTGAGGGGCTGTCACAGAAAAGAGAGGTGGTGGTCAAGCTCTTCTCCAAAGCGCCCGAAGGCAGGACAAGAAGCAACGGATGGAAACTAACCAAGGAGAGAAGCAACCTGGAACTTCCTGACAGAACAATGGAATAGCTTGTCTCCTGTAGTTGCACTGGAAAGAGTCCAGAGAAGAGCAACAAAGAGGATCAGGGGACTGGAGGCTAAAACATATAAAGAGCGATCTCTGGAATTGGGTATATCTAGCTTAATGAAGAGAAGGACGAGGGGGGACAGGATAGCAGTCTTCCAACATCTCAGGGGCTGCCCCAAAGAAGAGGGAGTCAAGCTATTCTCCAAAGCGCCTGAAGGCAGGACGAGAAGCAACAAATGAAAAACTAATCAAGGAGAGAAGCAACCTGGAACTAAGGAGGAATTTCCTGACCATGAAAACAATGACCGCGGAATGGCTGGCTTCTGGAAGCTGTGGTTGCTCCAAGGCTGGAGATTTTCAAGGAGAGACTGGACAGCCTTTTGTCTAAAATGGCCCAGGGTCTTCTGCTTTCCAACTCTCATTATTCTGAAAAGGCTACAGCTGCCTCCTAAATCCCATCAAGCAGAACTCCCGACTCCCTCTCCTGTTGGGATTTGACAGGGTTGAGATTTGAGAGGCAGGGGGTGGGTGGGTATACAAATAATCCTTGAGTGGCACCTACCCCTCACGGTCGTCATTCATGACAGTCATAAAACAAGTTGGTCCCATGACCTGATTTTTGCAGTGTTTTTTTGCCATGGGGATTAAGTAAATCGGTAGTAGTAGTAATAATAATAATAATAATAATAATAATAATAATATAATAATAATAATAATAATAATAATAATAATAATAATAATAATAATAATAAAGTTGGAAGGGACCTTGGAGGTCATCGAGTCCAACCCCCTGCCCAGGCAGGAACCCTATACCATTTCAGACAAATGGCTGTCCAGTCTCTTCTTAAAAACTTCCAGTGTTGGAGCATTCACCGCTTCTGGAGGCAGGTTGTTCCACTGGTTAATTGTTCTAACATTCAGGAAGTTTCTCCTTAGTTCTAAGTTGCTTCTCTCCTTGATCAGTTTCCACCCATTACTTGTCGTCCTGCCTTCAGGCGCCTTGGAGTTGTGAAGCAAAGACTGTGGTCATTCATTGAGCTAAAGCGTGTTGGGGCAGGCTTTTGCAAAATTCAAGCGTAAATGCCATTTTTGGGGGGGGGAAACCGTCACAAAACACAGGATGCTGCAAATGGCCACCAATGCGGTCGAGGATTATCTATATTGTCGATGCACAATTCGCGTCTCAGCTGCACTTCTTGTGTGTAAGGAATTCACGCTGTTTGTCACTGCCGTTGTAGGTGCAAAGCGGATATTATCAAAAGTCCGAGACAGTCCTCTGGTTGGGGAGCCTTACCAGGTAACGTCGGGTTGACTCCTTCTCATTTTACTATCCTGGTTTTCATTTGAGGTATATTTTAGAGCAGCGTTCCTCAATGTTTTTGGAGGGGAGTGGATGGTTCACACAAGTGGCCGGAAAATGTATGCGTGCAGCTCTCATTTCCACGAGCGGTGTGCACACGTGCCTGCCACTCGTGCAAATGGAGCGTATGCGCGAGGATACACGTGCTTGCCGACCATTTCCATGGGCCAGTGGCAAACCTGCGGGACCCCTGCTTTGGAGGGTTAATTCACAACAGTTCTCCACCTTACAGGTAGTCCTCAATTTACGATCACAACCGAGTTCACAGTTTTCTGTTGTTACAGTTGTTAAGTGAATTTTGCCCTATTTTACGACCTACCTTGCCACAGTTGTTAAAAGTGAATCGCTGCAGGTGTTAAGTTAGTAACACGGTTGTCAAGTGAATGTGGCTTCCCCATCGACTTTGTTTGTCAGAAGGTCACAAAAGGGGATCACGTGACCCTGGGACACCGCAACCGTCATAAGTACATGCCAGTTGCCGAGCCTCTGAATTTTGATCACCTGACCGTGGGAAACCTGCAACCGTCACAAGTGTGCAAAAACGATCATGAGTCACTTTTTTCAGAGCCGTTGTAACTTTGAACAGTCCCTAAACAAACTATTGTTAAGTCAAGGACAACCTGTGTTTTCAATGAGAAATAATCAACTGTGACTTTGCACAGCCAGTTGTGACAGTACGGGTGGCTGGGGAGTTACAGGAGTTGAAGTCCACTCACCTTAAAAGTTGCCACAGTTAAGAAATGCTGCAATGTAGAATTTGCAATTAGAAGTTTTCTTGTATTCCAGGTCATATTCCCACTGTGGCCACAGACACGTTATGTCCTTGTGCTGTACTTTTTGTGGATTGCAATTTGCTTTTTTGTCCATTTACATATCTGGGAGACATCCTGATAAATTGTTCTCATTTCCCGTTGTCTAGAACAGTAGGGCCGGAACGTTATATAAATATTCAGTGCAATATTGTCTCTTTTCCCTTCTAATACCTTCATCAGTATTTTTCTAAACATACTTTGTTTTAATGGAAGAATAGGTGAATTTGCTTTGATTTCCCTTTGCATTTATTTGAATCTGGGTAGTCCTGGGTTCAAGGCCACTGTCAGCCAGAGAAACCTATTGGGAGACTGAATCAATCCAGTCTCAGTCTAGCCTTTTGGGGTTTTTTTGGGATAAAATCAAATAAGATCTCCAGGTAAGCTGCCTCAATCTCCTGGAGGGAATATTGATCAATGAAGCAGAATAGTTGACCTATAATTTTCAATTTTACTTTTAGTTACCTATTTTGCCAGTGCTCTGAGTGAATGTTATGTAGAAAAGCAGATTAACAATGCCATGAGATTGATCTTGGATTTCTTACAAACTCAAGACCTCTGTTGCTTGGCCCTCAGGAAGTCTAACTAGACCATTGCCAAGCTGGGTTAGAAAAATCAGTAGTTTTTTTATCTAGTGTTTTCCAACTTGGCAACTTGCTGGCTGGGGAATTCTGGGAGTTGGAAGTCCACTCATCGGAAACTTGCCAAGTTGAAAAAACATTGATCTAAGCCAGGGGTCCTCAACCTTGGCAACTTTTAAGACCTGTGGACTTCAACTCGCAGAATTTGCTGGCTGAGGAATTCTGGGAGTTGAAGTCCACCAGTCTTAAAGTTGCCAAGGTTGAGGACCCTTGATCTATTCTAAGCCATAGGTTGTGGCATCACAAATATTGCAGTTGTTACTAAGAGAGACCAGCTCTTTTCATTGTCATCCATGGAGATCTGTTTGATTAACTGATTGATTGATTGATTTTTAAAGAATCCATAAAGAAATACCTGCAACAAGTAGTGACTTTGGAATATGAAGAAAAACCAAACTATGAAGAACTGCGAATGTTATTTACGAGGCCTCTTCAGCTGATGAGGGCATCGGCCTATGACTCAGTGGACCTCAGAGTAGCACCCTAGGTGAGCTGTGACTTCATTTCCAGTCCCATCACGGGAGCATCACAGGCCCTGCTGGGTGGCAGATTTTTGTGTGTGTGGAGAGTATTATTGGCTGTTAAAAAGAAAAGACAAACAAAAGAAGATGCTTGCTTAAACTGGCCACTTCTGGGCTTGGCATAGCTGGAAATACCTGGAACAGGTAGGTAAATTTTGGGGCGATGTAGAAGATGGGTGGATGGATGGGTGGATAGACAGACAGATGATAAATAGATGATGGATGGATGGGTGGATAAGATGATAGATAGATAGATAGAATAATTTGAATTTGAATTTGAATATATAAAGTTGGAAGGTCATCTAGTCCAACCCCCTGCTCAGGCAGGAAACCCTATACCATTTCGGACAAATGGCTGTCCAGTCTCTTCTTAAAAATTTCCAGTGTTGGAGCATTCACCGCTTCTGGAGGCAGGTTGATAGATAGATACATAGATCAATGATGGATGAGTGGATGGATAAAATGATTGATAGATAGATAGATAGATAGATAGATAGATAGATAGATAGATAGATAGATAGATAGATAGATAGATAGATAGATAGATAGATAGAGACAGACAGACAGACAGACAGACAGACAGACAGACAGACAGACAGACAGACAGACACAGACAGACAGACAGACAGACAGACAGACAGACAGACAGACAGACAGACATGATAAATTGATGGGTGGATGATAAATGATGGATGGGTGGATGGATAAAATGATAGACACATAAATAGAGGATGGGTGGGTGAGTGGATGGATGGATGGGAGGATAAAAAAATAGATACATAGATCAATGATGGATGAGTGGATGGATAAAATGATAGATAGATAGATAGATAGATAGATAGATAGATAGATAGATAGATAGATAGATAGATAGATAGATAGATAGATAGATAGACAGACAGACACATGATAAATTGATGGGTGATAAATGATGAATGGGTGGGTGGATAAAATGATAGACACATAAATAGAGGATGGGTGGATGGATGGGTATGTGAGTGGATGGATGGGAGGATAAAAAGATAGATGGATAGATTGATGGATGGAGATGGATGGATAAAATGATAGACATAAATAGAGGATGGGTGGGTGGATGGATGGATGGATGGAAGGAAGACAGACACAGAAAGACAGACAGGATGTCAAAGCACTTTAGAGCTTCACCCAGAGACTTGCTTGCAGACTTGCAAGCAGCCAGTCTTCATGCAAGATTCCCTCAACGTGTGAGGAGTGTAATGCGTAGTTCGACTGTTATCAAGGAAAAAGAAGAACCCCAGTTCAAATTTGCCAGAGACGAGAAGAATGGTAAACCTTTTGCTCGTCTCACTTATCACATGGTTCATCATTCACCCACCTCTTTGCTCTTTATGTTGTCAGCAACTATATCGGAAGCCGTTAAAACCACCAAGCACAGATTTTGAGATCAGAAACGGCTGATCTTGGGACCTTTTCCTATCTGGGTAACAAAATTTTGCCTTTTGCTTTGATGCATTTCTGCATCAAAATGGCTCCTGGTTAGTTCAGACACATGTAGCAATTACAGCTTTGTACCAGCACTGCTGGCTCATCCTTTCATTAGATGCTGTTTTTGGTAGCAGAGAGAAATTTGTCATTATTCAGCTGCTCCCTTACAAACTTGTTTTTTGGGTGTGTGTTTTTTTCCCCCCTCTTTAAAGCTTTCAGAAAGCTGAACGCGGAGAGAAATGGAGAACAAGAACGAATCATATCTGGCTTCACAAGTCTTGAAAAATGCATTTAAGAATCGAACTCACTGGAATGTTTTCTCATTTGGAGCAGTTGGCAGCGTAAATTGTGTGTGTTTGCTTTTTTTATCTCTGATTTTTAATAGAGAGGGAAGTGATTTTCTTGGAAATGTTTGTTGGTTTTTTTTGCTGTGACCTATTACAGCCTAAATAGTTATCCAGGAACATAATTTAATTTAATGCATTCTAGCAAAGCTTTCTTTGACAAATGATTACTTGCACATAATTTATAAGGGGCCTTTAGCAGCTGCCCAAATATTCAGATCAAGACCTGAACCTTAAAAAAAAAAAAGGGGGGGGGGGTCGAAGGATTGTAAATATTTTAATTGTTTTTAATCTTGCCTTTAGTGTCGTAAAAGTTCATTTTATTCTGTTGCATAAATATTCTATTATTTTATCCCTAGCTTAAAGATGTTTTGTCAGACAGAGGGGTGAGATAGTTTTTAATCTTTGTGTGTGTTGATTTTTGTAGTAAAAAGTTGTACGGTGAAGTCCCAGTTTGTTTTGTGTGATCTTTGCATGGAGGAAAAAAATCCAGCAACTTTGAGGTCCTTCTGCAGGGACCATTTGAGACCAACTCCTGGTCCTTTTGTGGAGCTCACTACATTTTCCCTGCTTTGGTCCATAATTATTATAAATTAATTTATATTAGAGCAGATTCTCACCAACAGTTCTATTTATTGTAACAGAACTGGTGCTGAGAATCTGATTTAAATGTCCGATGACGTTAAAAATAAGACACGGTTAACATAAACCCACATTTTGGATCAGGTAGAAATCCATGTATTAATTTGTAACGTAGCAGCAACTTCAAATTTGAACTGAAATCTGGGCCCCGTTGATGGGCAAAATGAAAAAGTTGCCGTTCCGAGTGCCGTACTTTTAAGAAGCCTCACGCTTCTAATCAATGCAGCATCTTTGCCCCTTTAAATGTATTTTCCTCTAAGAAAGTGGCAATTTTAGTGCAGGATGAAGAAGAAATAGCATACAGCAGAACAGAGCTGGAAGGGACCTTGTAGGTCTTCTAGTCCAACCCCCTGCTCAAGCAGGCAACCCTATTCCTTTTCAGACAAATGGCTGTCCAGGCTCTTGAAAAACCTCCAGTGAAGGCAAGCCGTTCCACTGATTAATTGTTCTTGCTGTCAGGAAATTTCTCCTTCGTTCTAGGTTGGTTCTTTCCTTGATTAGTTTCAATTCCATTGCTTCTTGTCTTGCCTTCTGGTGCTTCTCTGTGGCAGCCCTTCAAATATTGGAAGACTGTTATCCTGTCTCCCCTAGTTCTTCTTTTCACTAGACAAGACGTATCCAATTCCTGCAACTGTTCTTCATATGTTTTAGCCTCCGGCCCCCTAATCATCTTTGTTCTTAAAAATCCTTAAAAAGCCCTGGGAAATCACCCAGGATTTCTCACTATCATTTTCTCTAAATATGACACAGGCCATCCATGTCAGGTGTGGCTCTGTGTTGCCATTTCTTGTCTGTTGTTGGCCTAGCATCATTTACGTTGAATAACAGTGTTTATAATAGCGTTCTCCCTCAGATGAAGAGTCTCTGTGGAATTGTAGCCAAAAACAAGCTAGCAAGCAAGGAGAAGTAAATAAAACATGCCTGGGGAAGATGGTAAACTGGGTTAATCGAGGTGCAAGAGCAGGGGCTCCTGAATCTAAAAGCCTAATGAAGATTGGAAGTGGGCTTATGTAATCCTGAACTAACTGTCAGGTGCAAGAAGTCAGAAACCAGGATAGGGTTTAAAAGTACTGCAGGTTTGAGGGATCCTCGATGTTCACTAAGCTTAGTTGTTTTCTTGCAGACGTTTCGTTACCCAGCTAGGTAACGTCAGCAGCGACACCGGTGAGGTTATCTAGTTTGAGTAATGAAACATCTGCAAAAAAAGCAACAACCAAGCTCAGAGACCATCAAGGACCCCTCATTTCAATCCTGAGCCCCAAATATTCTCCTATTGGTACCACTTATGGATGTCACTCTTCAGAAAGCATGGAAGTGGCAGAAATTTGCATGTAGGCAAAGCTAGGACTGATGGTGTTAGCTAGTTGGGTAATGAAATGTCTGCAAGAAAATAACCAAGCTCAGAGAGCACCAAGGACCCCACAGTCCTCCTCCTCCTCCTCCTCCTCCCATCCTGATTTCTTCACTCTGAAAATCTCACTCCCTTCCAGCACTGATGTTGTTATCTAGTTGGGTAATGAAACGTCTGCAAGAAAACAACCAAGCTCAGAGAGCACCAAGGACCCTCATTTCAACTCTTAAGCTACAAATATTCTCCTTTATCGGTACTACAAGTTTATTCCATGCTAACTCTACACAAGACTCTGAAGTACTAACGGTCAAGGTGAATTGGCGCCAGCTAAGAGTCAACACACTTTTGGGGGGGGCTGGACTTAGGTCTGTTACGGGGTGTAGTGACACTAAATTGATGATGCATTTGACCCCATACTCAGCCTGGTCATCTACATCAACTGAGCTAGCCCATTTTCTATATTGGCACAAAACCAGAATTCCAAGGTAACCGCCAGGACAGTTCACACACTATAAACATCTAATCAAGATTAACCCTAACCAAGCCTAGTTTGTTGCACAGAGCCAGTCACCGGATTTTTGCATGCCTTCGTTCACCAGTCTCCAGGTCTTGAAACGGCTCGGTTGAACTCGTTGAGTGAGCAAGCCTTCAATGAGAAACGGGAAGCTTGTTGTGATGGAAGAGAGAATGGCATATAGCCAAGGACCTCCATCACTAACTGGTGCACATCCTCAACCGGAACACTTCCATTGGGAGGTGAAGCTGCCTTACGACACTGAAGCTTATCGTGTGTGTGTGTATTATGACTGCATGGCTCACACTCTTACAAATCACATTTCAAAAAACAAAAACACAAGGTTTCCAGGAGTGGAAAGCTTAACCGATTTGAAAGTTAACTGGAAATAGGAGGATGCAGAAGAGATGGGTTTTTTCATTTTTATTGTGGCCCAGAGGGAGACACAAATTGGAACGCGAACCTGTTCAGGTGAGCCCAGGACCAAAGACCAGGCCCATCCAAAGACTGACCAGCAGTTCTCCTAATGTCTCCGAGGAAGCAGAAAGAGTTGGATGTCCGTGTTCTTCAGAACTGGTCTTCCAGCATTGCTATCCGTTGGAGAGCAGCCATCCCAGATAGGAGAAGGACTCAAAGGAGGAATCAGCCTAGACTCTCTACATGAACACAAGAGGGCTAGATCTGACCCCACCCCTGAATTCCTTAAAGCCTTGTCTGGTCTTTCCTGGGCGGAAGCTGCCGATCTGGAGAGATTCCTGTGCTATAGGCAGAGAACAATAAAGTAGCTAGTTTTGAGGGACTAATTCAGGGGTAGGCAACCTTGGCTCTTTTATGACTGGTGGACCTCAACTCCCAGAATTCCTGAGCCAGCATGGCTCAGCTTGGAAACCTCTCCCTTTCCCCTCAGCATGGCTGGCTCAGGAATTCTGGGAGTTGAAGTCCACGAGTCATAAAAGAGCCGAGGTTGCCTACCCCTGGACTAGTTGTTAGCGCCTGACAACACCCCACTGGTGCAAGCGATCAAGACCTCGCCTAGCCACGCGCTTCCATGCACCAGAAATCTTCCCTTGCCCCTACATGTACAGTCCCACGGAGAGGAATGAATTTACTTATTTATTAAATTTATACACTGCCCGTCACGCCTAAGTGACTGGGCGACTCACAACACCATAACAAAACCAAATAAAACAAATAAAAGCACAGGTTAAAAACAAGAGTTCCGAACAAATTATAACTTCCAACTACAAATAAAAACCGGGGTTAAAATTCAGAAGGCTAAAACGTTCACAAGGCAGCAGGGTGCCCTCAAGCCACCCCCTCACAGACACATACACACACCGCTTATTGGCAAAGCCAGGTCTTAACGCTCTTACAGGAGGGGGGGGACTCACCTCTGGGAGTCGGATCTTCCAAAGGACTTGCCCTGAGCAGGATGATGAAGCAGACTTCAGGCCAGACCAGGCCCACCTTTCTGGAGGAAGCTGGCATTGGCTTGAGAAGGTCACTCGTCTACCTGAATTCATCCATCACCTGGATGGTAGCTAAGATGCTGCCTGGGTTTCTGGCTTCACCCTGAGCTCTCGGCGCCTGGCAGCTTCTCCGCGACGGAGGAGGCCAAAGAGGGTCCTCCAGATGTGCTTTCCATCCAAGACCGGCGTCACATCTGGAGCGCCAAAGAGGGGTCCTCCAGATGTGCTCTCCATCCAAGACCGGCGTCACATCTGGAGCGCCAAAGAGGGGTCCTCCAGATGTGCTCTCCATCCAAGACCGGCGTCACATCTGGAGCGCCAAAGGGGTCCTCCAGATGTGCTCTCCATCCAAGACCGGCGTCACATCTGGAGCGGGAAGAGGCTGTTCTCGCCATTAGCAACCGGGAGCGATCAGCTGGGATGGAGGAGAAGGACCAGGAGGAGGAGGAGAAAGGGAGGGAGGACCAGGAGGAAGAGGAGGAGGAGGAGAAGGACCAGGAGGAGGAGGAGAAAGGGAGGGAGGACCAGGAGGAAGAGGAGGAGGAGGAGAAGGACCAGGAGGAGGAGGAGAAAGGGAGGGAGGAC